ACACACACACATACATACACACAATTCTAGAGGTCTGTTATCTTTTTAGGTAACTTTACCATTTTTGTTTGTGCTTGTTGTCTCTACAGTATCACTGCCAAATTAGAACGTGCACTAGAGAAGGTTGCCCCCCTCCTGCGGGAAATCTTTGTTGATTTTGCTCCGTTCCTGTCCCGGACGCTCCTTGGTAGCCATGGACAAGAGCTGCTGATTGAAGGTAAACACTAATACCTTAAAGACTACACTGATAATAATTTAGTTTTATTTCTGCATTTTTGTCAATTTTATTGGTCAGAAATTTAATTTTTATCAAAAAGTAATTTGGCACAGCAGATTTTTGTATTTTAAAAACTTTGTTCTAAGTGTTCCTGTAGGTTCTTTTCTATACTGTTAAACTATGTAATAAGATGAAATGAGAGGGAGCATCCCTGTTCTTTCATAGTTGTGTGTATGTAATAGTGTATGTACCATATAAGTATATGGATAATTCCTGCCTTACACCCCATGTGGGCTGGTCTCCTCTAAAAGTATCATGACAAAAGTGAGAAAATATAGTGACAGCACATTTGTGTTATTATAGCCAATCATTCAAATAGCTGTTAGGTGCTTTGTGTTGTGTGTGTGTATATATGTATGTAAATATGTTTATATGTTTAAATAGGCAAAGGGGGGCACGCTCAAGGTTTAAAATGAGGTACAGGATGCATTCAAACAATTGTACGGAGTGTCCTACATTTTGGTGGGGCGCAGCCCACCTTTCTCATATTTATATAATTAATATTTTCTGTGCGCTTTTCTCACACTTTGTAGGATAGCACGTTGCCGTTTATTAGTGCACTGCTAAGCTTCCAAGAGTGCATGCACTACAATGTGAAGAGCAGCATGGGTAACAGGTTTAATTGGCTTTCTTGTGCAGACTTTAGCTCCTATTCACATCTGATCAATTTGAAGTATGTTTCTAGAAGCACTTAAACTCTTAACATTCAGATTTCCATCTTATTCTATTTTGCCCATTCACATCTGAGTGATGTGCTGCTGCTCAATGCTCAGGAAAAAAAACTTCTTTGAGGCATGATTGTGTATTTATGGCCCCAAAAGACTTCAGAGTAGCAGCTATCTCCTCTTCCTAGTAACTAGCATTCCATTGACTAAGCCATAGCTGTGCATGCCTGAAAATGAGTAAAAAATGTATGTACAGACTCGCAAAATAAAAAAATGACACAGATGCTTGAGTGTGAATGTAGCCTAAGGCTATACATGGTAAAGTTACTTTGAATTAAAAAAATTGCCTAATAGAAAAAAATACCCGATTCACTCTTTTGCACATGATCTATACAGTATGTTTGGGAGATAAAAATAAAGAAAGAAATATAAGGTATTTGTTACATATTATAAACTTGAATCATTATTTTTTCTAGAGTTAGAAAAAAAAAAGTGTGAAAGGCTAATGCTAAATGAAACCTGATTGAGAGAAATACGGAGGTGACAATTGCCATACTCCTTCTGAAAATGCTAGTTACCTTACTGTCTGTAGCAGTGATACTTTTGAAGAGACCGATTCTAAACAGGAATGCATATTATTATTATACAGCATTTATATAGCGCCAAACGTTTGTGCAGCGCTTTACAATATAAGAAAGACATTACAATTCAAGACAAGATGGTAAGGAGGGCCCTGCCCCTGAGGGCTTACAATCTAAAGGGTGGGGGAGGTGATACATGAGGAGGTAGCTGTGTGGGGATGAATTGTTTGAGAAAGCGATAGTTCAGTGGTTAGGTTGAGGTGGGATAGGCTTCCTTGAAGAGATGAGTCTTAAGGGATCGCCTAAAGGCAGTCAGAGTGGGAGATAGACGGACAGGTTGGGGTAGAGAGTTCCATAGGATGGGAGACACTCTAGTGAAGTCCTGGAGGTGAGCACGGGAGGAGTTGACGAGGGAGCTGGAAAGCAGAAGGTCTTTGAAGAGCAGAGGGGGCGGTTAGGGTGATACTTTGAGACCAGGTTTGAGATATAGCTGGGGGCAGAGTTGTGGATGGCTTTGTAAGTGGTTGTTAATATTTTGAATTTTATCCTTTGGGCTATTGGAAGCCAGTGGAGGGATTGGCAGAGGGGGGTTGCAGATACTGAGCATTTGGTTAGGTGGTTGAGTCTGGCAGCTGCATTCATGACAGACTGAAGTGGGGATAGCCTGTGTAGAGGTAGGCCAATGAGGAGGGAGTTGAAATAGTCAAGACGAGATATAACAAGTGAGTGGATGAGCAATTTTTGACAAGGTTGTGGTCTGAGAGCGGGAAATGGGTGTTGCAGAGGTTGCAATGAGTGCATAGGTGGGATAAAACAAGATTTAGTATGTTACCATCAGAGTGAGTAGGAGTGCCTGACCATTGTGTTAGGTCAAAAGAAGAGGTTAGGTTAAGGAATTTAGTGAAAGCTGGAGTGTTAATGTTATTAGCAATGTTAAAGTCACCAAAAATTATAATCGCTTATTCTGAGCCTTGTTTACTACATTGACATTTTCTTTTGATGCTACACAAAATGTTGACCTTAGCCACACTTTGCTTGTTTTTATGTATGGTGTGCATGATAGCCAGGGAGCTCCTATTTCCAGATCGTGGAGGTCAGCAAAGGCAGTGCCCATGTTTTCTCAGTCCATCTAACTACATTAGGTGGATATGTACGACATTTCCTAAAAAGACATACCATGCTGCTTTATTTTCCAAAACATTTAACAAATGTTTGTAATATGGAAGCTTTCGTCGTATAGTGACTCTAAACTCGGGAGGTAAATCTTAAAAATGCATGTAAGTACCTTAAAGCAGACCTGTACCCCCTTTCACTAAAAATCACAGCAGCAAGCAGCTCTTACATTCGTCTTACATTCATTAGTTAAACAAACTTGTTTGTCATTTACTTACAAATAGAGTTCATCTACTTCCTGGTCCAGTCCAAGAGCGAACTTGGAGAGGTGGCTACTTTACAACACACACAAGGACCATGGGGAACAAAAGTAGTCACCCTCCAGAAGGAAGGACAGTGTCAGCACCCATTCAGAGATAATTTCAGGATCTACAACTGAGTGATACACAAATAAGATATATTTTAATAGTTAAGCTGCTGCAATGCATTTCTAAGATTTACCTACTGAATTGAGTGTCACTTTAATATTTGTTTTTACGTGTTACACTTTTTGGGAAATGTGGAGCATAGCGTGCTTCCTTCCTCAAGTACATCAATTCCAGTGTTGAAGTTAACTTTTCCCCTTTCCGAAGAATTTCAGAGCTTAGACAGAGCACTAAGCTGTGATTTATGAGTAAGTGTCATTATTTTTTATTGCAAATACCAGTCCCTTCCCTAAGCACCTATCTTATTATGTCCAGAAAAAAGACATATTACAGCATAAAACACTTATTCTACATGTAATTTGTCAGTGGGTCAGCCTATCTGCTTTTCACCCTGGCTAAATAAAGGATTCTTGACAGGGTGGCATGACAATCAGGAATCCAAAAAATGTCATTTAGTTGGAGCTTGGGCTGAAATATATGGGTGTGCTCCTACATGTGTGTCTGCATTCATGTGATAGAAACTGTGCTATTTTTAAATACACATTTTGTGAGGCTGACGTTAGAGTTTAATGTGCTAGAATGGCTGAGTGCTTTTAGTGGAAGTCAGTCTTCAGCATTACTCCACTCGGCAAAAATGTTAGACAAGTTGTTCATGCGTCATTACAGTTAGTATCTGGTGCACAGGAAACCGTCTCTATCTTTTCGATCAGAGTAAAGCAAGTGCTTGCTGAGGATTTAAGTTGAAAGAGAGTAGGATGTGCCGTAGACGGTAATGTGAAGTGTGTTGACCATGGATATAGCTCTGGTTTTGCGTTGATCAAAATTTCTTCCCAATAAAGTTATTGGCTTTTTGGATGTTATGTTTAATTTTACTGTTTACTTTTCATTTTGTATGTAAAGTTCACCAGCATTAACTCCTTCCTGACTGAGGCCTTTTTCTAATTTTTTGCACCCATGTTATATTCCACATTTTAGGCCTGAAAATGACTTAAAACCCCCAAACATTATATATTTTCTGAATGCCAAGACCCTATAGAATAAAATGGTGGTAGTTGAAAATTTTTATGTTGCACAATATTAGCGCAACTCCTTATTAAACCCCCAACATTTAGTGAAAAATGTAATTAAATGCCCCAAAACACAACAAAATACCAATTTTTTTAATTAAATATAAAAGATGAGGTTACACTAGTAAAACGATACCCAACATGCCCAGGTTACAAATTGCGTGCATCCGCGAAACGGCGAAAAACTGCAGTACCCCAAAAAGTCCATAGAAGACGCTTTAAAAACCCCCACAGGTCATCAATTTAGAGATACCCCAAAATACTGGCCCTAGAATTATTGCTCTCACTCCGGCGTGCGCGGCAGAATCCAACATGTGTAACGCGTTCTTCGTTTTCATACGTAGCCGCACCCGTTCAGCCCAGGGACCGGAAGTGATGCAATCTGCATCGCTCCCGGTCCCATAGAATGGGGAGGGGATCGATGAACGGAAGTTCGTCGACCTCCTCCCCAGCTCCCCGCGGACACCAAGGAAGCTGGTCCCGAGCCCATAGGAGGGGCACGGGAAGCACGGCGGCGTAAGTCGCCAGAATCGCTTCTGTTGTAAAGCCGACAGTCGGCTTTACAAGTTTAAACAGAGTCCCCGCGGCTGTTAAAACAGCCCCGATGCTGGCGACATACACTGTACATCGTCAGTCACAAAGGGGTTAATAAAGTCCCAAGCTGTTCTATTTGGCCCAACCGCCTTGATACTTGGTGACTTTCATTTAAATCCCAATATTTCTGATTAGCATCATCCCCAAATAAATACACCACTTTTATGTTACATGAGTAAAATTAATATTAAAAGCCAGTGTGGGCTTCTGTGTGCAGTGTTCTTTTTTCAGACATCTCTAGCGTAAGTTGCACTGTGCTCCGAAAAATTGCAAAAGTCCAGAATGTTTTTACTTATGAATTTTAAGGCACTATAGTTATACTTATTGTAATATATGATTGTATATTTCTTGCTCTTTACAGTTCTTCTTTTAAAGTGTCATGTTCAAAATGGAGAACACATTTAACAGTTTAGGCAGCGTAGCACCATAAGATAGCAGTACTTCTGCAGTCTTGATGCTGGCCACACTCTGTCAGATTTTATTTTAGACTTGATT